TTTTCCTTAATATAGCCTTTTTCTCAGAGAAAATTTTGTATCTTTATTTATATTTTTTGGAAACACTTAATGTTTTCAGGTTATATTTAAAATTTCTTTGAGTTAGCCTTTTTTTTTAATTTTCTTCTTCTAAATTGAAATGTATCTCATTTTTTTTTAAAGATTTATTTATTTATTTATACAAGCACTGGGTACAGTCAGAGCACGGGAGGGTGAGAAAATTCACCAGAGCCAGAGCAGGGAGCAGAACAGGCAGACAGACGAAGTACACTTGCTGAGGGGAGCAGCGGGTGGCAGGAGAGGTCTGCGCGCCATGTGGGACCTCGCCAGGCGGCCAGGGATCGAACCGGCACTGCAGAGGTTGCAGGCAGCTTCACAACCCAGTGCTCAACCACTGCGCCACCATGGAGGCCTATCTACATTTTTTTAATCCCATGTTAATAATATTAATACACGACTTAGGTATAAAATTTGCAAATTAGCGTATGGAATTTTTATCTGCATTTAAAATTGCAGAATATTGCAAAAAGACATTGGAATCAGTTTCATATAAAACAAAGCTAACTGTTTCTGTCTAGTTACTCATTTTACTAAGAATTCTACATGCTAAGAAGAGCACAATATGAAGTTATTACATGATCTGGTTTCTCTTCTTTGATACTTTCAGTCGATATTTTCTTAACCACATTGTAAGTTGTATACAAAGGGATCAGATGACTCTTTGCACTGAGCACATATTTAATACCCTTGGATTAGATATGTAGCTTCTACCTAAAATATCTGTTGCTGGGTATTGCAGTGGATCTCAGTTTTCCAGTTGGCATGAAATCTTTGCAGAAAAAGCAAAGTCTTATCTTGTAGCTGGTATCTGCCTGGGTAGTTCATGTCTGTCTCCCAGTCACTCACTACGTCATCTCTATGTTTCAGTGAATCCCTCCGTAGTGTTTTAGTTTCTCCCATGTTTATAAAAGTAAAACCTAGAGTAATGTAGAATACTTTTGAGGAATAAATGTTCTGCTTCGCAGCTCTCCAGTAGTCCTGGCTGTTTTTTTCTAGCATTTCTTTTCAGCTTTGCTTTTCTAAAGAAAAAGCCCACACTGACAACTAATTATTTTTTGGTCATATCCTGAGTTTGACTTTTCCACTGATGAGACTTTACTGACCTCTTTAATTTTTCTCTTTTTTACTAAGACATAGACATTTAAAATTTCTCCACTCTGTCCAGTTCTCTTCAATAAATGTGGCATTATCTAGCATCTAATAATCAAAGCTGAAAAAGGTACTGCCTCACACTTCTAGGCTCTTCATTCCATTTTCTGTCAAGAAAATTTAAGACAAAGGTTGATGTTTGCATAAATTATTTCCTGACTATTTTGTAGCTCCTCAGGCCATTTTCTTTTGACTAAATGGGTTACTGCCTACCCTGTCCAGCTTATTTCCTTCCCATGTCCCAGAAGCAGAACTATTCCCAATAAGGTGATTGGAGTGTCAACCGCTAGAGAACAATTAGTTGGAAAGCTGGAATTGTTGATACTCTTGAGTGTCCAAACCTCTTTTTATCTAAATTGGGGCTTTGAGAGTTTTATCCACAAAGTTTGCAGTACACCTGTTTTTCAAAGCTTTTGTTGAAAACCATTCATTTATTGTGAAGAGTAGATGCATTGTAATAAAGTATGGTACTGTAACCCCAATCCAGGAAACTACCCATTCCATGCATTCTGTGAAAACTGTGTTACTTGTGAGCTTACAAAAGTAAATTCCTAATATCCCCTACAGTTAAGCCACAGATCTAGTAAAGTTTATGTTTACTGGCTTTTATAATCAATTTAAAATGTAATTCTTTAGATTTGTGACCAAGTTATAACCCATCATTAAAGCTATTTAATCCAAGAATATTGAAATTAATTGCTAAAACTTCTCTCTTTAAAAGTGTGTTATGTATTTGGAGTCAGAATATACATATATCTAGAATTTAGAGCAACGAAGGGGCAGTTTATAAATCCTGGCAATTTTATGTGAACTTTCCAAGTATCTTCTGCAGCAGTTTCTTAGGATTCAAAAAACCTGCGGATTACATTCCCTTTTGTCTTCTATAGGGAATACCAATATTTGAGGTGCTGTCTAGCCATATGTGATAAAACATCAGAAACTGGTTCTAAATGCGTTACCTGATCTTTTCTGTATAAAGTATAGGGAATGAGGAATAATGCTATTATAGTTTTTACATTTCCTAAAAGCACATTTGATTTATTAGTTCCTCAGTGTTTATTTATGTACTTTTTTTGAACAAAAAGTAGTGTGTTAAATCTCCAGTCAGTATTGCATTTCCGTTTCTCATTTCCTGTAGTTTTTGCTTAATCCTGTTTCGTTTTTGGCTTTACCTGAATTTTTCTTTGACATAGGATATTACTTCCTGCTTTCTAAGTGTTCCTATTTCCCAGGTATGTCTTTGCCCATCCTTTATTTTTTAACATTTGTTTGTAACTGTGTTCCTTGTGTGTCTTCTATGGAAACACAGGCTTTTTATTTGTGATCCATTTTGAAAGGTTTTTTCCCTTCTAATAGGCACATTAAGCTAATTAACATTAAATTATATTCCTCATGTTCGCTCACAACTCTTTCGTATCATTTTATATTCTATGTACTGAATAGATATCTGTGTTGTTATTCACTGTGTTTATTTCTCCAGTTGATGTATCTTTTTCGAGATTAAAATAAATTTTGCTGATATTTAGAAAGATGTGTGTTTTTGTTCCATAGTTACTTTTGTGTTTGTTTTTGATAGTGTCCTTACTGTCACATTTTTAATGTAATCTTTTGTTTTCTCATTTGTCAATCCTTTGATGCCCACCTGCCAAATTTAGACAGTGGTCAGTGATCTTATCCTACTTCCCATTTCTCCTTTTCTCTTATTTTTTTTATTTATATTCTTTTTACTTAGGCTAAATATGTATAGTTTACCTATTGTTCTTTCTCGTAGGCCCCCATATTTGTTTTAATTCCAGCTCTACAAACACATACTCAACATCAATCCTTTTATTTATCTAATGTTGGATGAAGCTCCTTCAGATGATTCTTCTAGAGAGGCACATGTGTAAAATATTTTCGGAATTTTTGCAAGTTCTAAACTATTTCCGATAGACTTGAAATGCATAGGGCTGTTTGAATGGATATAAAACCTTGGATTTTACATGTTATGTTGAGTTCCTTGAAAATGCTCCAACAGGCTCGTTTATTGTTCTGCTCTGATACCAGCCTAATTTCTTCACTGTTACAACTAGATTAATGTTTTTACCTAAGGGCTTTGAACTTTTTTCTGGTGTTTAAAATATATTAGTTTTACTAGGATAGGTTTTGTTATTGATCACTCCAAGTCACTTTAGCGACATAGTAAGTAAGGTCTTTTGTTTTTTCTCTTTGGTGGGTTTTTTCAGAAAGTCTTTTTTTTTTTTTAGAATTTTAGTTTTAAAATTATATTGGCTTTCTTTTGCGAATTATATTGGCTTTCTTTTGTGAATCCTTTTGAGAGGATTCACCAGAGACAGAGCGGGGAACAGAACAGGCAGACTGATGAAATACACTGCTGAGGGGAGCAGTGGGCGAGACAGGAGAGGTCTGCTGCGCCATGTGGGTTGCTCCAAGGCCTGCGGAGATCGAACCGGCACTGCAGAGGCTATGGAGAGCTTCACAGCGCTGCACTCAACCGCTTGCGCCAGCAGGGAGGCCTCCAAAGTGAAACTTTTTAATGGATGAAGATAAGGAGTTAATACATGTCTTTTTTCTGTAGGTTCCTTAATTTTTCTTTGCAGTCTTACCTTTACCTGTATATCTGAAAGAAGCAGTATAATCCCATTCATCAGTTCTCCTCAACTCAGTGCTTCCTCATTCTGTTGCCTCCAGAACCACAGTTTTTGTCATATTGTATATCTACTGTGATTCAGCATTGTTTTAAAATCAATCATTGGATTTTGTAATTTAGTTTAATTGGAGCAATATTATGAATTAAGACCATAATAATATTAATTATTTTCAAACAATAGCTTGATAACTATTAATATAGAAAATTTTAATTTTTGTGTGATCTTAACTTATCCTTTACTTCATTAGTGGAATGGACATCAAACTTGAATTCTTTTTAAGAGTTGTGTAGAAAGGTAATAAAATTAAGGTCATACAAACATTGAGTCATTTTACTTTCTCCGCTTTTTTGATTTTCTAAAGTAAATCTGGATTAATTGCATAATAGAAAAATAAAATTGTAATTTTCTCTAAGTTTCTGCATTATTCTATAAATTGATATGATTGCCAATATCCTGAAATGACATTAAAATAAGTAATGATGTCTTTTTGTTTTATTTTACATTTTTGAAAGGTTAGGTTTATTAGAAGAAAGGAAGGGAGAAGACTTGCACAGACAGAAAGAAAGCAGTAATAATATCTGTAAATTTAAGAAGGCTTAAGTTAACATTTTGAATTATTTTAATATTAATTCAGCTTAAGAAATATTATTGTGAAGGCAAATTAAACTTTCTGGCTTCCATGAAGTCTCTATATAATTATCTTAGGAGTATTAGTTTTTTTTTTTTTTTTTTTTTAAATACAAGAGCTGGGTACAGGTCAGATACGCGGGAGGGTGAGAGGATTCATCAGAGAGAGAAAGTGGGGAACAGAACAGGCAGACTGATGAAATACATTGCTGAGGGGAGCAGCAGGTGAGACAGGAGGGGTCTGCTCGGCCAGTGGGGATCAAACCAGTACTACAGAGGCTGCGGACAGCTTCACAGCGCTGAGCTCAACCACCTGCGCCACCAGGGACGCCCAGGGTATTGGTTCTTAAATTCATTTTGTTATGGTTTTAGTTTTAGAAGCATGATAATTCTTCCTCTGATAGGCATTGTTCTCTTCTAAAACTTAAGGATTTTTTTTAACAGCAAAATATGGATAATGACAATTTAAAATTAGAATTATAGCTAAAATTACTTTGTTTCGTTCTTTCACAGGAATTGAAACCTGATGTCATAACTAAATCTGCTCTTGGTGATGATATCAACTTTGAAAAAATCTGCAAAAAGGTATATCTGCAATAGATCCGGTTTCTTTTATGAAATGTTCCTTCTTTTATTGTTCACTTCTTTTGCTTGAAGAAAAAAAGTTCTGAATAACTATTAATATTTCACAGTAACTATTAATATTTCACAATTTTTCCCCAACATAAGCTTCTTTTTTTTTAAGACTTTTTATTTATTTATGCGTACAAAAACTGGGATGTACGCCAGAGGTGTGGGGTGTGAGAGGATTCACCAGAGACAGAGTAGGGAGCAGAATGGGTGGATCTGTTGAAATGCACTGCTGAGGAGCGCAGCAGGCAAGACAGGAGAGGTAGACTGCACCTTGTGGGTCAGCTCCCTAGCCTGAGATCCAACTCATGCCACAGTGGCTGGCAATAGCTTGATAGCACTGAACCTTTAACCCCTGCACCACCAAAGAGGTCCCCCACATGAGCTTCTATACTGCCACCAAAAAATATTTTTATAGTAACTTAAAAATTTTTCTTTCCTGTGATATCACATCTTTAAGTGCTAGATAATGACTAGTTTGTTAATCCTGTTAATTAAAGACTATAATTTTATTCTTTCCAAATCATTTTCATGAATATTTCACTTAATCCATGCAGTTGCCCCTTGGAATGATAATTTTTAACCCATTTTACAAATGAGAACACTATAGCTCAGAAAGAATGAAATGAGTTGATTAATGCTTGTGCCACCATTATAAGGACAGTTCGGACATTTACCCAAATCTTCTGCTTCTTGTGTTTGCTACTCTTGCTTCTTCCTTGTACTTCCCACTTTTCATTTCTACCCACTTGCTACTGCCTATGTAAGACTGTTCCACGGATGGTGGATTAATTGATTTTTTCTATTGCTTGTCTATATTCATTTCATTGACAATTGTTGTAATCCCCACCAAGTCTATGTTAACTGCATCCCATAGATTTGATGTGTTTGTGTTGCATTTTAATTTCTTTGAGTTCAGAATGTTTTATAGTTCCTTTGAAGCTTCATCTATGACCAGTGGCTTAATTATGTTGTTTAATTTCTGAACATTTATGGGATTCTCTGTATATCTCCCTGTTACTGTATTTTTTATGATCCATGGGCATGTTTTTTCATGTTTTTTGACTTGGTTAATGTTTCTGTTGTGGTTCAGAGTGTGGCTTTTTTGTAGTGAAAATTACATTTGCAAGTGTATTCTGTTGAGATGAGGGTCCTATCAGTGTCAGTTAGATCAGATTGGTTGGTGGTGACTACTATCTTCACTGATTTCTACCAAGTTGTTTTACTGATTACTAAAGATATATATATATTGAAATCTCCAATTGCAAATCAATTTGTCTATCCTTGCCTTAAGGAAAAAATACTGTCCATTATATCTGTGTAAACCAGCGCTTACTCCTCTACCCTTGATTCACCAGAGACAGAACAAGCCTACTGACTGAAATGCATTGCTGAGGAAGCAGCTGGAGACAGGAGAGGTCTGCTGTGCCATGCGGGTCATCTCCCTGGCTGGGGGTCGATCTCATGCCGCAGTGGCTACGGATAGTTTCATAGGTTGCATCTTAACCCCTTGCGCCACCAGGGAGGCCCTGGATATGTTGTTTTAAAGGATTTGTTGTAAGAATATGAAAAGCTGTTGTTTGTTTGGAAGAAGGGAGGATTGCTGTTATCCTCATCATCCTTGTCAGAAAAGTAACACCAAGTGTTACTTTTATGAGCTTGATTTTACAAGAGCCTCTGTATTTTATATTAGCATGATTTTACAGTAAATATACTTATTTCATAGGATTCATTCATAAAAAGGCAAAAAGTAGTTTTACTATACTTTTTTTTTTTTTTTTAAAGATTTATTTATTTATTTATACCATTACTGGGTACAGTCAGAAGTGCAGGAGGGTGAGAGAATTCACCAGAGCCAGAGCAGGGAGCAGAGCAGGCAGAAGGACCGAAGTACACTGCTGAGGGGAGCAGCGGGCGGCAGGAGAGGTCTGCGCGCCATGCGGGACCCTCCTCTGGTGGCCGGGGAGCAGCCGGGGATCGAACCGGCACTGCAGAGGCTGCGGGCAGCTTCGCAACCCAGCACTCAACCGCTGCGCCACTGGGGAGGCCTGTTTTACTATACTTTTAAACTCGTGGTTTGGTCTCTATTTCAGACAAAATATGGTATGTGAAACAGAATAGTGGTAATTCTGTAAAAATATGGCAAAGTGTATTTTTGTTTTCATGAGCATTTTAAAAAATAATAACTTGAGCCTTTACCAAAATAAATTTTTTTGACTTTCTCGTTGCTGAATTCTAAAAGTATTTCATTCATGTTTAATTTGTGGTGACAATAAAAAGCAGTTTATTTTAGTTCCCTAGTAATACTATTTCCATTTTAGCTCTAACAGTAAAACTTTGCAGTATTTATTACTTAAGTTTAACTTTAAAATATCTAAAATAAAATATCCCATATTTTATTTTCCCCCCTTTCAGCCTGATTTTTTTCACTTTAGAAGGTTAATGTATTACCTATAGTAGCAATTCTTAAGCATATTTTCTTCCATTTACAATACAATCCTTTGTTCAGTCTTCCAGTGTGTAAAATGTCATTTATCTTAAAAATGTGTCCACACATGTCTATGTTAGGTTATCATTGTTATTGTGTTAATAAGTTTTATTTGCATATAACTTGATTTGTAATGATGAGATTTATCTTAGTAAGTCAGCTAGAAAGTTTACAATCTCATTAAAGTATTTTCAAGTGAAACCTGATTATATTTCTGTTCTTTTGTACTTTCTCCAAATTGAAGGAAGGGAGGGAAACTAGGCAGGGAGGAAAGGAAAGCAGTTCTGTTTCATCAAAGTTATTGATGGAACTGTTGAGGGATTTAGGGCCAAGGGAAACGGCCCTGCTTAAGAATCACACGTTTCTTCCAAGCTATTTACTTGAGCTCTACTTTTACTATTTCATTTCATTTGTGATTTACATTGGATTTACATTAGATTTAGGTTCTTTTATTTACCACTTTTTAATTAGTTAAACCTTTAAAACAAAAATAAAGCAAGCAGTGGAGTGTCCTAAATGGAGAACTGATGATTTTGTCAAGGAAGGGGGCTGGGTAGAAGATAACTAAACGGAAAATAAGTGTATTACATATTGCTCTGCACTATATGTGTATGTATTACGTATACTTCTGACTATCACAATAGAGCAGAGCAAACTAATTTGCATAGCATATTACAGCATGCACAGTTCTTTCATACACATTCTTACCTCACTTTATTTTATCTGTTCTTTATAGAAAACAATGTATGCACATAATGTGTGTACACTTGTGAGTGTGTAGTAATAGTGTCTTCATTTTTCAAATGTGGGAAGGGTTAGAATGGTTCAGTAGCCAGTTAACACGAATATGGTGAAAATTTAGAACTGGAGAGTTAGGAACTGTAACTCTGACCTTTCCTGACAGCTTTTACCGGAAGTTTAGGAGCTTCTCAATTCAGCACATCTGTTGTGTGCATAGAAATAGCCTATGCACTATAGTAAATTTGAGGGGCATAAAGGACAGAGTATTTTGTAGAAGAAAATGTTAACTAGTAGAAAATTTGTTAGACAGTTATATTAAGCACTGTTGGCTAAGAGGAAGCAAATTAACATGTTTGTTAACATATGTCAGTTGCCTGACTTGTTAGATGCTTTATAATGCTAGCTCTCAGGAAAGATGATACTAATCCCATTTAGCAGATGAGACATCAGGCATATAAATATCAAAATCATACCTACAGTTAGTAGGAAATGACAGCTTCAGAGTCTAAATCAAGGTCTCACCTATAAAACCAAATTTAGAACAATAATGGAATAAGTCCTCATAGGTAACACTACATTGTAGAATGGCATTATAATGATTTTAAGAGTTCAACAAATGCAAGAAAGTCTTCTGTTTCCTTAAGAGTGGACTCTGAGCGTCAGCTTGCTTACTCTGCCACGGTGCGTCTGATCTAGTTGAATCGGGACTGTTTGCTGTTATCTCACTAAATGCGAGTACAGATGTAAGTGTGTTGGTTGATATCTTCAGGTAACACCTAGAATTGGAATTAAGTCTACTTAATATTAAAAGTAGTGTTACTAATTTTCTACCACTACCAGTTCATTTTGAGTCAGTGTTCTTAAGCAAACATTTCAAAGGAATGGACATGGCATTTAAGAGAGCCTTTTCATTTTTAGACTGTTTACATTCACATGTACATTCTCAAAATTCTTCAAAATTGAACACCAAATGCTTTGTGTTCACAATAAATAACCATATGCCAAAATAAAAAATTTTCCATTAAAAGATGATGTGTTTTTCCTTTTTTATTTAATTTATTTGAAATGGAAGAAACTGGAGGTGTGTGAAAACCACAGTTTCCTGAGAATTTTCCACAGCAAACACTGTGTCATTTTTAAATAAGGAAAGCTGTGGTTTCCTTCATATTCCCCAATATTGTGAAGACTTTTTCATGCAGGTGTAAAAACTATTTGTTCATAGAGACTACTTAGCCTTTTAAGCTTCAAAATAAGTTTATTTAAATATAAACTGACTACATAAGCTTCAAAATAAGTTTATTTAAATATAAGCTGTTTGTATTTGAATTCCTTCTGTGTACTCCATAACATTTTCTATCTCTGTGAATTTTATTACCTCTGCCTTGGTTTAATTACTGGTATTCGTGCCTCATGTGTGAGAGTATGCCTTCACATAAGGGCTCAGTAAATACAAAGAGAAAGAAAATAAGTGAGGAAGGAAGATGGACAGGAGAGAAATGGTTAAAGAAATTGAAGTCACCCCCAACAGGGGCTGCTCGATTTATTCTAGTGAGCTCCCACTAATTTAGCCCCATGTCTTGAAGAAAAGGTAGACACCTGAAATGCAGCAGAGACCCCACACAATGCCAGGGATAGAAATCTGAGCCCACTTGCCTCATCAGTCTATATACTTTTGTTAATATTTAATTCCTTTCCCAAAAACATTTGAGAGGCCCGGAGTTGTCAC